TATATATATATATATAGAGAGAGAGAGAGAGAGAGAGAGAGAGAGAGAGATAGATAGATAGATATATAGACGGATACACATACTATATATATATATATATAGGTATATATATATATATATATGTGTGTGTGTGTGTGTGTGTGTGTGTGTGTGTGTGTGTGTGTGTGTGTGTGTGTATGTATATATAGCAATATATTAAATAGCAAGGAAATCGTGGCAGAACACACTTGTTTTAACATCCACGGTGTACCAAAGAGTAAACCCAGAAAGTAAATCCAAAGAGTAAATCTAAAGAGCAAAATCAAAGAGTAAATGAGGAAACCCCAAAAAAAATGAATCCAAAGAGAAAATCCAAAAAATAATCCAGTGTAAATCTAAAGGAAATCCAGATAGGAAATCCAAAAAATAATCCAAAGAGAAAATCCAAAGAGAAATCCAAAAATAATCCAAAGAGAAAATCCAAAAAATAATCCAAAGAGAAAATCCAAAGAGAAAATCCAAAAAATAATCCAAAAGAGAAAAATCCAAAAAATAATCCAAAGAGAAATCCAAAAAATCCAAAGAGAAAATCCAAAAATCCAAAGAGAAAATCCAAAAAATAATCCAAAGAGAAAATCCAAAAAATATCCAAGAGAAAATCCAAAAAAATAATCCAAAGAGAAAATCAAAAATAATCCAAAGAAAATCCACCAAAGAGAAAATCCAAAAAATAATCCAAAGAGAAAATCCAAAAATATTCCAAAGAGAAAATCCAAAAAATAATCCAAAGAGTAAATCCAAAAAATAATCCAAAGAGAAAATCAAAAAAATAATCCGAAGAGAAAATCCAAGAAAATAATCCAAAGAGAAAATCCAAAAAATAATCCTAAGAGAAAATCCAAAAAAATAATCCAAAGAGAAAATCCAAAAAATAATCCAAAGAGAAAATCCAAAAAATAATCGAAAGAGAAAATCCAAAGAAAAACAAAGAGAAAATTAAAAAATATCCAAAGAGAAAATCCCAAAAATATTCCAAAGAGAAAATCCAAAAATAATCCAAAGAGAAAATCCAAAAAATAATCCAAAGAGAAAATCCAAAAAATAATCCAAAAAATATTCCAAAGAGAAAATCCAAAAAATAATCCTAAGAGAAAATCCAAAAATAATCCAAAGAGAAATCCAAAAATAATCCAAAGAGAAAATCCAAAAAATAAAGAAAATCCAAAAAATAATCCAAAGAGAAAATCCAAAAAATAATCCAAAGAGAAAATCCAAAAAATAATCCAAAGAGAAAATCCAAAAATCCAAGAGAAAATCCAAAGAGAAAATCCAAAAAAATCCAAGAAAATCCAAAAAATAATCCAAAGAGAAAATCCAAAAAATAATCCAAAGAGAAAATCCAAAAAAATAATCCAAAGAGAAAATCCAAAAAATAATCCAAAGAGAAAATCCAAAATATAATCCAAAGAGAAAATCCAAAAAATAATCCAAAAAAAATCCAAAAAATCCAAAGAGAAAATCCAAAAAAATAAAGGAAAATCCAAAAAATAATCCAAAGAGAAAATCCAAAAAAATAAAAATCCAAAGAGAAAATCCAAAAAATAATCCAAAGAGAAATCCAAAAAATAATCCAAAGAGAATCCAAAAATAATCCAAAGAGAAAATCCAAAAATGATCCAAAGAGAAAATCCAAAAATAATCAGAGAAAATCCAAAAAATAATCCAAAGAGAAAATCAAAGAGAAATCCAAAAAATAATCCAAAGAGAAAATCCAAAAAATAATCCAAAGAGAAAATCCAAAAATAATCCAAAGAGAAAATCCAAAAAATAATCCAAAGAGAAAATCCAAAAAATAATCCAAAGAGAAAATCCAAAAATAATCCAAAGAGAAAATCCAAAAAATCCAAAAATCCAAAAATAATCCAAAGAGAAAATCCAAAAAATAATCCAAGAGAAAATCCAAAAAATAATCCAAGAGAAAATCCAAAAAATAATCCAAAGAAAAATCCAAGAAAAATCCAAAGAGAAATCCAAAAAATAATCCAAAAAGAAAATCCAAAAATAATCCAAAGAGAAAATCCAAAAATAATCCAAAGAGAAAATCCAAAAAATAATCCAAAGAGAAAATCCAAAAAATAATCCAAAGAGAAAATCCAAAAAATAATCCAAAGTATAAATCTAAAGAGGAAATCCAAAGAGAAAATCCAAAAAATAATCCAAAGAGTAAATCCAAAAAATATTCCAAAGAGGAAATCCAAAAAAATAATCCAAAGAGAAAATCCAAAAAATAATCCAAGAGAAAAAAAATAATCGGAAGAGAAAATCCAAAAAATAATCCAAAGATAAATCCAAAGAGAAAATCCAAAATATAAAGAAAATCCAAAAATAATCCAAAGAGAAAATCCAAAAAATAATCCAAAGTATAAATCCAAAGAGAAAATCCAAAATATAAAGAAAATCCAAAAAATAATCCGAAGAGAAAATCCAAAAAATAATCCAAAGTATAAATCCAAAGAGAAAATCCAAAATATAAAGAAAAAAAAATATCCAAAGAGAAAATCCAAAATCCAAAGAGAAAATCCAAGAAAATCCAAAAAATAATCCAAAGAGAAAATCCAAAAAATAATCCAAAGTATAAATCCAAGAGAAAATCCAAAAATAAAAGAAAATCCAAAAAAATAATCCAAGAGAAAATCCAAAAAATAATCCAAAGTATAAATCCAAAGAGAAATCCAAATATAAAGAAAATCCAAAAAAATAATCCAAAGAGAAAATCAAAAAATAATCCAAAGAGAAAATCCAAAATAAAAGAAAATCCAAAAGAAGAGAAAATCAAAAAATAACCAAAGTATAAATCCAAAGAGAAATCCAAAATAATCCAAAGAGAAAATCCAAAATATAAAGAAAATCCAAAAAATAATCCAAAGAGAAAATCCAAAATATAAAGAAAATCCAAAAAATAATCCAAAGAGAAAATCCAAAAATAATCCGAAAAAAAAATAATCCAAAGAGGAAATCCAAGAGAGGTAGAGTAAAAGTGTTTTCTCTTCATTTATTGCACAAAAATATAGGGGTTGCATAGCTTCAGACGGAAAAAAATAAAACAATAAATAAGAAATATAGAAAACAAAACGAAAATATGAAGAAAAAAAATTAAACCTTTAATACAATTCTTATGAAATTACAATTACCATAGACAATTGTGTCAAAAAATCTACTATGACAGAGGAATGAAAATCTCTTGCATGGTACAAGAGAAATCAAAATCGTTAATAATTAAAAATAAACCACCAGAAAATATAACATCTTCATACACAAGAGACTAAAAAAAATAAAAATAAACAAAAAAAATAAATAAAAGGTATCATAAATACTGTCTCAGCAAAGGAGGAGGATTCTTTGTTATCTGCACACCATATAAATCGTCCCATTGTTATCCTTTGCAAAATATGTAAATAGGCGTAAACTACACGGAAATTAAGCCAGCGTTCGGCAGAAATGAGAGGATGCATGAAAATCTCTTGCATAGTATAATTGAAATCAAAATCGTTAATAATTAAAAAGAAACCACCAGAAAATATAACATCTTCATACACAATAGACAAAAAAATATAAAAAATGAAATAAAAAGTAAGATCATAAATATTGTCTGATAAATATTCCTAGCTGGCAGTGGAAAGTGGTCCCTGTTCTCGTCCCGATTCCGGCAGGATGCAGGGCAGGATGGGGATAGGATGAAGGCACTGGATAAGAGGGATGAAGGATGAAGGTAACACTACAAATGGAAAAGGAATGGAGGAGGGAAGGACCGGCGCAGAAGGAGAAAGAAGCGGAAATGGCGAAGGGACTAGAAAAGGAAGAGCAAACAGGGAAAATGAGTGGAGGAGGGAGAAACAAGCGTGGAAGTCGAGGGGAGTGAAAAAGCAAAGAAGACGGTGCGAATAAGAGGAATCTGAGGGAAAAAAAACTGCAGAATACGGATTAGGATGGAAGCAGGATAGGAGAGGGATGGAGACAGAAGGCAGAAGAAGTAGGAAAAAACAAGTGGGAGAGGGAGAAGCTGAGGGGAGTAGAAAGACGAAAGAATGGGGAGAGAGGGGCGAATAAGAGTGGGAGAGGGAGAGAAGAGAAAGATGGGGGGCGGACGAAGAGCTGCATGGTTTGCTCTTCCTCTTTCTTCCTCCTTCCTCCTCGCCAACTCCCTCAGCTGGGCAGATACAAAACGAGGGGAAGACTTGCCACAAGCAGGTTATCAGTAGGAGGAGTCAGCTGCAGGTCTTCTACCACCTTTCTTCAACATCTCACTTCGCTACCCTTTCATATCAATATATTTATTGTTTATATGAGGCTCTAAATGCATTACAGAATTTAGTAAATTCTTTTTCTATTCATGTCAGTCATAAACATGTTCAATGCCATGGCACACAAACTATGAGACTGATTAGTACTGTTCACTAGGCTTTAGTTTGAGATGTACCCTGGCAGAGGGGGTAAGCAGGTACCACACCTTGCCCAAGGGTGACCTAGAAGCTAGCGAACGGAAGGGACGCCTCACTGCCCCCTTCATGCTCCTCAAGAGACATGCCACTGTCCAGCTAACAAAATAAGTAAATATACAGAATAAAAATGATCAATGCTTCTGTAACTAAATTGAACTAAAAGTATAGTTAAGAACAGAAGACTGTGACTTGACTAGAGTCAAGGCCATGGGTAAATACTGAAGCAAGATCAGGGTGATGACACATGACAGCCACTGCTCTAGAAAACATACATAATAAATATGTCGATCCTATAATGTAAAATCACAGCGGAAGTAAAACTGCCAACCGAATTCAATGCATTTAAATGGATATCACAGTAAGCTGTTCCTGGTTCGTGTGGTCCCAGCCTGTAACGCGCAGCTTGGGATTCCCTCAAAACTTAATGCATGGATATTGCACATAATGTACACACTGCATGCTAAATATTCGTGTCATGATGTTACTTCAATGAAAAAGAAAACAGACGCTAATACTACTAACTGACATGCTGATGGACAAACTCTCTCTGGACCATATGGAGCCTTGGAAACCTCTGCGCCATTTCCTTTAAACTTGGGTTCTTCGCTGTCCTCATTTGACTTATTTTCCTCCTTATACGGCGAAGGATCAATCTTATTTTGAATGCTGTTATCCTTGTTATCCTTACTGTTCAGAACCTTTTCACTGTTTCCCTCACTACACGGCGAGCTTGAATTTGATTTGCAGTAGCATTTAGTGTGCACCTCGTGAGTGAAATTCTGTACTACAGTTTGATTGCTTTTTGTGTCCTTCAGGTGCACGAAGACCGTCTGGTTGGCTTTGCAGGCCCTCATCTCCTGCCTCTTGCCGTCCGCGTCGAAGGGACACGGGTTCTGCTCCTTGATGCACGTTGGCACAGGGACGAGGTCGAGGGTTCCTTTCGCTCTAACGATTGCCCTATTCGACATCGGAGTTTCATTCCAAAAATGTCTCACTGCCTTGTAAACGATGACGGGCTTCCCGTGGACGCTCTCGACGTATCTGGCGTTCGTGTGGACCTCCTCGTGCCCGCTGGCGCCCCGAGGCCCGGAGAGCAGAGAGCCACAGGCGACCAGGACAACACGCAGAAGCAGAGCCCGCTGTCTCATCTTAAGGGTCTGGGGATCTGTGGGATGGAAAGCAGACAGGAGGGTGTTACTGACAACGTCGGCAGAAGAGAATTGTGACTAGCATGAAACAGTTGCTCAGTACACAAACGAGATATTCAGGTTCGTGTCGTTCGGATCAAAGGGATCGAGCGTGTCTGGTTCTTTAGCGAGTTATATTCTGCTCATAAAGGGGGCGTCTTTACAGAAAGCATGCAATTTATCCATTTCTTATCGTGCGATTCATGACAGGCTTCCCGTAGATGTTCTCAGCGACCAGGACTGCGAGCACAAGTAGAGCCTGCACTCTCGCGCTGAGGGACATTATCGCTCTTTGGTCCGTAGAT